TTGGTTCTTGGTTCCCAGGCTCTGACGGAGCCTCAGTAACCTCACTTTTTGTATTCGATATTCAAAGCTACCAGGAAACGAGCATGCAAAAAATACGATATAGGAGAACATTGTGGGAACCTATAAGTAATTACGGAACAATCAAGCAGTAGCCATATAAGTTCCCCAAGCCATACAACAAACAGGTTCCCACAGCGTCCTCTTCTGTTAGGGTTTAGGGTTTAGGATTTAGGGGTTTGAGGTTTAGGGTCCAGGGTTTAGGGCGTCTACCTGGGCAGGGCTGAGTATCCATGCGCTGATGATGCCACCCCACTTCTAGGGATCTGTGGGTTACGGCATGCGCCCATCAAACGCTAAGGTATTCCCATCAAGGGGAAGAGCAATGTACATTGTAGAGATTTTGCCTACCGGGGTGGCTAGAGGCAGAGCTGTACCTCCCGATGTACCGGAGTAGCCCGGAGCAGCTCTATATGTCCGCTCTCCATGGGCTCCCCCTCATTGTCTCACCCAGTACGGGTGTAAAGGGTGACGTGTGTCCTCAGTATCTAACCACCCTAGTAATGGTTGGCAATGGCCTAAGCAGGCTGGTGAGAGTTTAGGGTCCGAGACTGGGCCCCCCCAATATATGGCTCCCACAAGCTAAGGGCCTCATTAGGGATGATTGGGGACTATTAGGGCTTCTTGTTAGGGCTTATCCGCCCTTACTAGTTTTGGGGGCAGCATATGCGAGCGGCCCTGGCAGTCCTCTGACTAAGCGAGCAGTCTTTTTTAACAGAATCAATACCGATACTTGGAGTTGTGTGGGTCACTTTAACATGGATTTTCCTTCCCAGTCCATTCTAAGCGAGTAGTACTTGTAAAGAAGGGCATGCTCTCACAATAGAGTAAGATCCTTATGAGGAAAATCTATTCTTACTTGGTTCAGTCACAAAAAGCTCCACTCTAAAAAGGCACGGATGTTGCGCTTGTATCCCCAGAGTCAGGTTTTGAATCTTGAGGAGTCACACCAGATAAGGAGCCGCAATATGGATCCCAACATGGCATGTTCCTGATTATGGGCACTCCCTCACTCCTAATTGGCAAAAGCCCATATGAGCTATAGTCTAAACTCCCTAAAGGGGGTCATATAAGGGATTATATTGGGGACCACTATAGGGTATTTTAAGGGGGATACTAGGAGTTTAGATTATGGCTCATATGTATAGCGGGGCGGGATGCGGGCGCGGGTCTTTTGTAGCATGCAACATGGCCCTGCAGTTTCCGAGCGTAGCCCACCTTAAGTCCAATCTAACGACAGGCTCATAGTAGCCTAGAATCAAATCTATCAGCTATGCTGGAGGATACGACTCCCCTAAACCCCAAACCGTGTATTAATGCGCAAGTGCAAGAGCCGAACTACGATGGGGCTAGGTTTGGCGTCTTCTCCTGAGTCACCTGCTATTGTTCTGTTCATTCAAGGACGGGGCTAGTGATCTGCTACTGACACAGGGAACCAATATGGGGGTTTCCCAAAATTAGGGTACCCTTTTGGGGGGGCCCCATCATAAGGTTGATAGTATTTTGGAGTCCAGATTGGGGTCCCCCTAAGATACCACAAGCAGGTGAACAGCGTTCCAAGCTGTATGCCTTGCAAATAGCGCAGATCAATCCAAGTGTTCCATGTGGTACAACCTCCCTGCCTTTTCAATTTAAGTTGAACTGGCGGGTTGATCTTATCACGAACATCTAACATGAAGCTCCGCAGTTCGTTCAGGGATGCGTGGTCGGCGATCCTCCAAAGCCCACTACGATTCTGGCAGCTTCGGTATCTTGGCCAGCTTGGTTTAGCTTTCCTTCAGAAGCTGCATTTGGGTGGTTGTCAAAATTACCGTCCCTTTTTGGATCCCTAGTATAATACGGCACCTAATATTTAGGGTACCCCAAAAAGGGACCATAATTTAGACAACCACCCATTTGTGTTCAGTGGCATGGTTGCCAGTGCAGGCTCCGCAACCGACTCATGGTCTGCGGCTAGAGGCAGATGCTTCTCATGGGGGATTGTCAAAAATTATGGTCCCTTTTTGGGTCCCCCTAAATTAGGCCCCGTATTATAATAGGGACCCAAAAAGGGACCATAATTTTGACAATCCCCCATATAACCCTGAACCCTAAACCGCGGCCCCAAGACCCACCTGTTTTCTTCTGGCGTTCGAAGCTT